CAAAGGAAAGGCGGGAAAAAAGAAGATACTGCCAGTAATGTGCAGTAAAAATAAGGAGGGGGGTGGAATGTTTCATCAAACAAAAAACAGTTGTGAATGGAGGTTTTTTGCTCATTTTGGCGTCTGCGCATGGATGCATGCCCGATGCACCGGGGACAGAGACACGTCCAAAGTACGCAGACCGAAAGCACCCTCCTTCCCAACACACCCCTTTTCGACAGTGACAAAAAAACAGAATGCAAACCCAAAGTGAAATGACATTGCATAAAAGAGGGGAAAAAAGAGCGAGAGAGAGTGAGAGAGAAGACAACGCATGCAAACTCCAGCACCCCAGTGGGTTGGTTGGTACCAGCCACCCCTCCTCCTCCTTCTCAATCCGCCCCCTTCCTTACTTCTTGTTTGCCTTTCTTTCCCTGTGAATATGCATGTATTTTTCCTTTTCCTTTTTTAATTTCTTGCTTCCATCTCTGCAATATTCTCGTTTTCTTTCTTTCCTGACGTCGTCTGCGTCTCATTGTTCCCATACGCCTTTCCCCGTCCTCGAGAGGAACACCCAGACGCGCACTCAGATGCACTCACCCTCTCCTTCTCAAACAAATTAATATCCACGCGGAGAAGCCCCTATTCACTGCCTTACCTTTGAGACCTTAATTGCAACTTTAATATGTGAATAAGTAAAACGCTATAAGTACACATTGTATCAGAGATAATGCGCAAAAGGATAGGGTTGGTGAGAAATCCGTTTAACCACGCCTGCGCGGGTAGGCCCATGAGTGCCGAGAGCGACGGTGATGCTGCGAGATCGGCGGAGAGAAATGCGCCTGTCTGTACTGCAAATACATCCGTACCAGCAGCACGTGTTTCCCGTGGAGAGAGAGCCACAAGTGGCGGCACAAGACGCTGTGCCTGTCGCCAGTTGTTGATGTGCAACGCACGATACATCGCCATGGGAATTGGGCAACAGCTGGAAACACGACGGCTGAACATATTCCTTTCTTGCCCTTCCTTTTTCTTTTAATTTCTCTCAGAGACCCTTTTTTCTTCCTTCCCTGGCGACTCCAAAAATGTAAGAAAAAAAAACAAGTTTCCGCCTATATGCGTGTTTTTGTGTGTACAATAGTTAATCAAAGTGATTACGAAAAAGCACGTGTAAAAAGGCTGTGGAAACCGTCTTTTCTTTTTTTTTTTTTGTTTTTTTTTGTTGTTGTTGTTTGCTTGTTTGTGTGCTTTTCATCAGGGCGACGTCTCCTCCCTCACTCCATTCTTCATTGCAAATCCAATATCTGAAGGCACCCGTCTATCTTCAACGGCCTATTCCAACCGGTTAAACAAAAAAAAAAAATGAAAGACTGGCGAAGGTGCAATCCCCACCTCATTGTTGTTGTTTTTTTTTTTTTACATTCGTCTATAACTCGTATTTGGGTGGTACCTTCCAGCATCCCTCCTTACTTGCCTGCATTAGCTCGCGGTGCGACAGGTACTGAAGGACGTCGTCCTCTAAATTCAGTAAGGTTTTCATGAAGCGGCCAATACACAACTGCGTCTCACGGTCAGCGGCTGTGCGTGTCCACAAACTCAGCTTCCATTCTCGACGTCGTTCTGCCCGCCGCAGCGCCACACCGCAGACCTCTGTCTCTGGGCATGGAAGCTGTTCTCCAATCAACGCAATGCACAGACTTTCCCAGGCCTCATCAACCCGCGATGACCGATCCTCAGTTATTTCTTCTTCGTTTTCCCCTTTCCTTTGCTGGCGATGTTGTTGATCCTGGAATCGAACCACCCAGCGGCCTCCTCGCCGGTTGGCCTCATGCTCCCACATGGGAGCAATGTTGCGCCGGAGCATGTAATACGTGATGCCGGGCGGCAACTGTGAGGGCGGCAATGTGCACGTGGCAATTCCCCAGAACCCTTCAGCGTTATCAAAAAGACCGATGCTACGCACCTGATCTAGCCATGTCGCTCTATTCCCCTCTTTATGCACCGCGCACCCCTTCTTTACGGCGCTGCCTCGAACACCCGTATTGTTACCAACCGCCCCACCCACAGGATCTGGCAGAACACACCACATCTCCCACACGCCCCAGAGCGGGGTAATGCAGCTGGTTGGGTGCACGGCTAATTTGGGCTCATCTGGCCGCGACTTCAGCCGCGTCTGCATGCAGTAAGCGAGATTTGACACCTGGAGCTTTTGAAGATACCGCACTCTTCAGGGGGAACAACAAGAAAACGTGATGCCCCTTCCACCTAGCACAGATGCCCAATAGCACGTACACCGAAACGAGAGACACAGACACAATTACAGACTCAAAGAAAAAAAAAACACCAATAGCAGGAATTTATTTCACGTAATGAAATAAGGTATATATATATAGGCAAGAAGAAGGTGTTTAAAAAATAATAATAATAAATTGGGAGTTTCCCGATAGGAATGGATTCTGCCCCGAAGAGTTATTTTCTTGCTAATCAACCAGCCGAAACAAGTCGACAACTTTGGTGGGGTTTTTTGCTAAACGGCACAGATCCCCGCCAAAGTTTGCTGCACTGCAACAATTCTCACCACATAGGGAGGCCTGCACGCCCACAAGACGTCGATTACTTGCTGCACATCACGCCACTTTTGCAGTGAATAAACATGCCTCGTTTGCATCAACTAAAAAGCCACGGATGTGCCGCTGATAACGAAGACACGTTACGCCATCCTTCAGAATCGCCTTAACCTCCGGGCCTTTACCCCCGCGGAAATGATCAATGTGCCTTCCGTGGAGAGTTCGCCTCATGATGCCACACAGGGATAAAAAAGAGGCATACTTAACGGCAAAAGAAGGCAGAGTTGGAACTTCTCGCGTCAATCCTTCTTTATTAAAAGGAAGAAATAAGTCGTTGCAATTTACGGGGAACCTCAAAAAGAAATGCATGTTTCCTTAAATACGGCCAAACAAGTACACACCTTACATGGTATTTAGTCCCATCGTCTTTGCAATCTTTTTCTATCGACTCAGACTGGTGCAGTTTTCCTCTCCGCAGACCCCATTAAAAAAAAAAAAAAAAAAAGCGTCGGCAGGTAGCGCAACGGAAAGCCGAAAGGTCCAAAAACCTCCGGTTAGGCAGCACTGTATGCCTCTTCACAACCAAATCAAATTCCTTATCTGCAAAGCAAGCCTGCGTCGCAGCATTAAGTGCGAGGCATCGTCAAAAGTGCAACAGTTCGTCTGCGCTCCGATGTGTCAGCGAGTAGAACCTCCCTCCCTCCGCTAAGGGGATACCAATAAGAATAATATAATGAGTTATAAGACTGTAAGAGAAAAAAAGGAAAAAAAAAGGGAGAGGAAAAAATATATTGTGGGATGTTGCCGTCAAAGCAATGCATGAGACAATACGGCCACAAACGCAGAAAATAAAAGTAAAAAAAAAAACATCATTACCCCGTGATTTTGATGTGATGAATAAAACTAGAGGTTGTCAACCATTTGGCTACTCTGTTACGCCTTGGCGTGCCGCTGCGCGAGCCCGACGCTTCTCCCCTGAAAGGCACTTCATTAGGTCGGTCTTGTATGGAAAGTAACAACTCACGTGCTTCATGTGAAGCTCATACCCTTCAACGTGGTCTGCAGTCATGCAATTGTAAAAAATGGCGTTTGCATTGTAGCAGGGATGGTCTGGTTTCATTTCCGGATCAAATGGGTGAAAAGGATGGCGACCAAGAAGTTCATTAATGTGTTTTTCGCCAATCTCCGGGCTTGGCATCCTCTGCAGGTAAGCCGTGTCGCCGTACATCCAATCAATGGCACGGCGGAAGTATGTATCACCCGACATAAATCACCGCAAAGCCAGACCAATTGGTAGGCTCTAGCTCCTATGCTTCTCCAAGCAAAAAAAAAAACAAAAAATGGGGATTAAAAAAGTGAGAAAACAACAAGAAGAATTTAAAAAAAAAAAGAATTTTATGGTGATTCTCACACGTACTCATAAATAAATACAAACACACACACGCACAGAGAGAGAGGGGGGAAGTCACAAAAAATGCGCAAGGGCTGACGGTTTCTCCCCCTCCGTGTCCTGTAAAAAAAAAACCTTTGATCACCATTTGAGCAAGAAAAAAAGGGTCAGATTTTGGTTATTTGGGCACAATAGAACTGAAGAAGGATGATATGGGGAGATTTGCTGTAAACTAAACTACTTAAGCCCAACAATATCGCCAGTGTAAAAACACTCAAATCTTTAAGCTACAGTACATCGCGGTACGTCTCCCTCAAATCCGTTGAAGAAGGCTTTGTACTATTTGCAGAAAAAAGCTGAATGCCGCCCTCGCCACTTGTCGAAACCATGGTGTCTGCAGCAACAACACCTATCATCCGCAGTAACTGGCCAAGATAGCGCAAAATGATAAGCACTTGGTGCTCCGTCCGTGAAGACTGCTGACGCGAAAAATGAAGAATAAAGAAGATAGTAATACAGAGAACACAAGCCACCACCTCTGAAATATTATAAGCCGACTCCCAAAAGTTACTACGCATCACAGCAAGTCGAAGAGCGATCTCACCCGCAAAAAGAAATGTCAATATGCCCTCCATAACATGGTACCAAAGTGTTGAGACAGATGCAGTGCTAACGAAACTGATCAACAAAAGCATGAGAGACGCCGCCACAATGCACCGATTAAAATTAGATCCAAAAAAAAGGAAATAAAAATTTTTTAGATGCTCACGCAACGGCATCCTTGGCGAGGTGCCAACCTGGAGGACTGGCCGCGGATTTTCCCTCAGCATTCCTACAATTGCGGTTGATCTAGCTCTACAATGCCTCCACCCACCCGCCCCACTAAAACAAAAACATAGACATGGAACAGTAAAGATCCTCAGCGCATGATTTCCTTTGCAACCTCTGGAAGAAGTTTTTTAAAAAAGAGGGCAAGCACAAACGCAAAAAGGAAATAAATACTGCACTCCTTTCTTTGTTGTTGCTAAATGAACAATGCAATTTCACACGAAGAAATCCCAGTATTACTCGAAGATATTTACCGCCGACCAGACGTCAAACATAAGCTGACCCCTTTTTTCCAATAGCAATACGCGTTGCTCACGAACACTCTCGTCATCATCATTAGAGCGCAAAATGTTATTTGCCAACCGTAGCCGTAATGATTTCAAAAGTGCCGCCGGTCCACAAGCAAACAAACGAGCACCCCTCTCAAGAAGCGCTCCCCGAAGCTCCTCCGAATGGGCATCCAACACATCCGTGACGTACTTGAGGTACCCTTCGCTGCTCGAGCGCGAAATTGACACATCATAACGAGAAATGGCGTTTAATTCTAGGGCTTCTTGCAGTTTTCTGTGATACACTAACTCGGCAAAATTCCTAGCACCGTACACCACCCAACAATTAGGAATTTGAGTTTTGCATCCCACACCACCTTGACGGTAACGTACAAGCTCGTGAACGGCACACACTAAAGGCGCAATGCCTGTTTCAGCCCCCACTAGAATCCATAACGGAAGTGTTGTCGACGCTGCTGTCTGTGTCATAAA